AGCCACTTTGGTGTGGTGGTTTAAAACACAGCACCAAGGGCTAGGGCAGGGATCTTCAAACTTGGCCCTTTTATGACTTCTGGACTTCAACTCCCAGAATTCCTCAGCCAGGCATGCTGGCTGAGGAATTCTGGGAGTTGAAGTCCCCCAGTCATAAAAGGGCCAAGTTTGAAGACCCCTGGGCTACAGAGTGATTTGGGGCCAGTCATTTTCTCTTAGCCATGGTAAAATCTCTTACAAAATGTTGTCAAAAAAACATTACCAATCTGCGCATCTAGTCCTCGCAATTGACTTGAATGATCAAAACAAGAACTAATTCCAATAGCATCAGCTTTTAGGAAGAATGATGGCTTATATATATGCAGGTCTTGGTGTATTTGGGTCTTTTCCCGTGTAAGATTGAGAGTATCTTGGTGATGTTTCGACGAGGTCCCACTCATCATCTTCAGGTCTTCCAGCCTGAAGATGATGAGTGGGACCTCATCGAAACATCACCAAGATACTCTCAATCTTACACGGGAAAAGACCCGAATACACCAAGACCTGCATATATATATTCTTCCCTCCCTAACACAGCTGGCAAAAGTGAGAAAGAGCCTGTGGTCTAGAGGTTAATACAGCTGCCTAATATGCAGACAGCCCAGGTTCGAATCAGCAGCCTATCCAAGAAAGAATTGGATAGTATGAAGAAAGTATGAAGAATTGATGTATGAAAATTTAGTAGGCATGACTTAAATAATCCTGCAAACTCTTTTTCTGTAGATTTCTTAGATTGACTTAATCCTTGTCACCCTTAAAAGCTTACCTTTGTTTTTTCTAGACATGGCTTGGTAAACAAGGTTTTTCCACTGTCCTTGACTGGTGATAAGTAAGTTGATCATTATGTTCTTGTGAAGTAAGCCAACCTGATCCCTAACTTGTTGACTCAAAAATTGGTCACACTAAACTAAGCAGGACTTACTACTGGGAAAAAAAACATGCTGGAAAACTGCAGTCTAAATTATGTACAATGCTAAGTTACTGCAAGACGAGACCCAATTTTTCAAGCAATTCTTTTGACATTGGCAAAACTATCTAAAAAAACATCTCCGGTGAATGTCAGTAACAGGAAAGCATATTGTTTTCTGTAAAGATCTGAAGCATCAAAGGTTTAACTACCACAGGAAATGGAACACTTCTAAAGGCTGGCAAGTTTGAAATGGGAGAGGATGAGGTTAAATGTGCTGAGAATGCATTTCAAAATGAAGTATCCTGGCTCTTGCCCCATGTTTTGTTTTCAAACACAATAGCACATGACTGCTAATAAGATATCTTGGCACTTTTCCCTTAGTGCTAAACTTCTGCTGGAAGTTATACAGTAATTGGCAGATAAATGACCCAAGGACAATCTCTTTACAGGTACATTCATTGATCTGGTCAAGAATTTTTGCTGCTATAATTGGCTCCTCCATGGATATTGGCAGGCTGGTTTAATATTAATGTATCTTATTCAAATCATCTTGCCTGTGACTCTGGGTGGCTAACAACTTTAAAAACAACTTTAAAAACAGCAAATAAAAAACCCTCCCTTTTTTTGACCCTGTAATCCCTTAATTCGGGGTAGAGTCAGGGTGACTGGATAGAACTGAGTGTTTACTGGCTGGATGCCTTTCCTGACATCACACAAAGTCCACAGCAGATATTTTTCCTTTGCACTCTAGGAGATAAATATCTGTCACTACCTAGGGTTGAGCTCTCAACTTTCCAAGAGGGAGGCAAGCATCTACACCCATACGCCAGAGTTCTCAACCTTTCTGGCTTTGTGGACTGGTGGGGGAGAGCCGATGGTTCTGTATGAGTGGTGGGCAAGCATGCACATACCTCCACTTGTGTGAGCAGCAGGCACCCTTGCCACACATGCACATGCGCTCTCTGACTGCTCACGCAATTGGGGATGCATGTGCCCACCGCTTCAATGACCCGGTTCCAAACAGCTCATGGCCTAGTAGTGGGACACAGCCCAAGAGTTAGGGACCCCTGCCATAGGCTACCATGCCACTCTTTAAAAACAGAAAATAAATATATATAAAAAGCTTGGGAGAAACAAAAGAGCACACACATATACATGGACAACCACACACACTGACCAGTAGCCTGGGGGTCAAAATTAGGTGTGTATATATATCAACACAGAATGGTTAGTATAACCACCTAGAGATGGATCTTAAGAGTCAGTTATCAACATATTAGGAGGCTGCTGTTCGACAGGTCAGGCACTGGGTTGAATGCATATCATCCATAAAATATGTAATATTACAACCTTATGTCCTTTGGTTTTTCAGATTGGATATGTAGGATATACTGATTGGGAATTCTAAATACTGCAATCCAAACACATCAGGAGTTCAAATAATAAAATCTTTTAAAAATGGAAGATTAAAACAGAATAGAGACTGCCTTTGGCCACAAATGAAATAAATCAAAGGTGTCAACACAAGATATTAAGTATGTTATTGTGAGATTTTTTTTTCTAAGAAGATAAATGCAAGTGAGTAATATTGCTAAAGCTGTAATGAAGAGGGTTTCTAGTTACAGTATGTGCATGCTCACATTAGCAGTCCTGACAATTTCACTTACTTCCCTGGAAAATAAGGAGAAAAAACAACAACAGACTATCTGAAATGAATAGAGGCTATTTTTCAAACCAAACAAATCAAGTCATCTGTAAGAAAATTGAATAGAATTATTGTAAATTTCTCCTAAATCCTTGTTCCTAGATGACCCTCTGTCTTGTATAAATTGCATTTCTTCCAGCAAAACGTGTGCTAGCAAGACTCAAGCTATCAACAATAGCTTTGCAGAGGAGATGTTCAGGCTTCAGGCAACCTACAGTCAGCTGATTATTAGTCACAGACAATTTTGCTGATATAATCAGAATAGTCAGAGCAAAACAAATCTGCACATAAGGATTCTGCTGCCATTTTAAGATTCCACATTTTTTTCTTTAAGAAGTTTCTCAAAATAAATGTTCCTCTTTGTTTCTCGGGAAGGAGGGATGTATAATTACTAAAGAACTGGATACAACACTGAGATTTACTTAGTCCACTTTCTTTAAAAAAACATACACTCAAAGATAGTGAACCTTGAACATGGAGTTGCTCAGAGAAAACAAATACATTGATCTCAATTAGCCCCTCACATTCACAGAATGATAGACTCAATGCAGCAATAAATATGTTGCAAATATGCTCCTAATTGGAAAACCTATTATTAACCTATTAAATATATAGAATTGAGAGAATAAGCCACTATCTTTTCTCTGACATGTACTGCAGTACTGAGAAAACAAGGTTATCATAGAATACATAACTGGTTGATAATTTCTCTTGTCATACTTTGTGCTGTTTTTCCAGCTATTATTAAGTATACAATATTTTTTGAAACCACATTCACAAATCTTAGGACTCATCTAAGGCAAGATCATTACTATTTACTATTTCTTCTGTATGCATGGCTATAGCTGTTTGTTTCAGAAGGGTAAGTGGGAAATTTCTGTTGTTATGCTTGGCACTGCTTGTACTATACTGCATTATCTCCTATTGATTTCAATTGTTTCAATAAGCTCATAATTTAAACCTTGTAAACAATTGTGTGCATGTGGTTGGAAAAATGGGAGAAAAATGTCCACATTAAAATCAGAAGTAATCACCAATGACTGAAAAAATGAAATATCTTACAGAAGTTATCATTTCAAGTGCAATAATAATCACCCATCAAGAACATTAACAAAATTTGAAGAACAGTGTTTAACGTCATTTGAAATTAGAGGGATATCTTCAAAGGAGAATCAGGTAGTACAATAATATGGCTTTAAATTAGGATAGGGGTAGGCAACCTTGGCTCTTTTTATGACTCGTGGACTTCAACTCCCAGAATTCCTGAGCCAGCCATGCTGGCTCAGGAATTCTGGGAGTTGAAGTCCACGAGTCATAAAAAGAGCCAAGGTTGCCTACCTCTGATTTACTAGGATGAGAAGATATGGTTTTACTTTCAGTGGATTGGTAGAATGATCCGGTTTAGGGGTCTCCAGCCTTGGCCACTTTAAGATTCCTCAGCTGGTAATTCTGGGAGCTGAAGTTTACAAGTCTTAAATCGACAAGGTTGGACATCCCTAATCTAGTCACTCTGTCATTCTCTCAGTTCAAGAGCATTGGAGGGAAAAATACAGTTTGCAGAAAAAAGTGCCAAAGGAAGCTAATTTTTGCTCATGAAGCAAAAACAGGGTAACACACATGCCAAAATAGCTTTTATATCTCTATGCTTTAAAAGAATATTAAGAAAAGGATTTGGGATTTCAACTTGATTAGGCAGCTTGGAATTCTGTATAAAACAGTTGATGTAGCAAGCTGTGGTAACTAGGGACTCTTACAGATCCTCAAAGATTAATTACTGAGAAGTCAAGCCAATTTCGTGAGATGCAGAAAGCGTTGATCTCAGCTGTCAAAAGATACTAAGAAGAGCACTTTTCTAATTTTAAAAAATATAGGCAGAGATACGCTTTTATTCTAAATCATTATTTTGAGGGGGGAGTGCTACACATATTAAACCAATCTGTTACAGGTGTGTATATACTGTAGGGTCCAAATGTACATAAAATAGGAACAACATGAATCATCTGGAAAACGTCCATGGAATAAGATAGTTCTTCTAGATGTGGTTACATGATTATCCAGCAGTAGGGTCATATCCAAGGTTCTAAACAAGTCCAAACTGAATAGAAACAGTAAACCTTAGTTAAGTACTAGACTCTTGCTCTGGAATCTCTCTTTAAATTTTTGTCAAGGTACCAGAATCATCTTGCTATATAAGCACAACAATCAATCCTTCATATTTTGAGGAAAAAAACAAATTGGGAGAGTTTTAAAGATATATGAGTTATTTGTGTTAGCTGGCTAAAGGTAAAATGAACTTTTAAATGTTTGGTTTGCAAAATGTATGTGGAAAACAAAAAACAAGAAACAAATAATGAAAAACCATTTTAATTTGTATAGATTTAGGCCAGGCTGGCGATGCAAAATTCCCAACAGAGTCGACATACATTTAGGAAAAAAAAAATTTTTTTTTATTGTTTTGCTCAAGTCTAAATGGAGAGAGAAACCCATTACCCCAGAGGTCACAAGAGAGGACAATGTGGGAGTTGATTATTTAGCTGACTTGATGCTAGACACGAGGAGTGAACTTCCACATGCAAAGCTTGTCTGAGAAAAAATGGTACTCAATTCATTCAAAAAGATCCTTGTTTTATTCTTGTTTTTTCTTTAAAAATGTTCAACTTGATATTTTTATTTAAAGGAAGGATTTTAAAAAAAAATATAGGGGAAAAATGCCTTTCTTATTGTGATCATCAGACTGGACATTCCTTTCACTTTGTAGCTTCATATTTTTTCAGAGCCTAATGCAAACGCAAATAGATGGGGCACTTTAGAGGGCCACTACCGCAGTGATGGGATTCAAATATGTGAACAACCAGTTCTCTGTGTGAATGCCGCTTCTGAAAGTCCATTCTGGGCCTGGGCAACAAAAAAGTAGCTACCGGTTCTGCCAAAATGGTGCGAACTGGCTGAATCCCACCACTGCACTAGCTGCTTTTCTGGTGTTTCTGTACAAATGCAAGGTATTCTTGAACATCCTGGGGAGAACCGACAATGAAAGGGACTCTCTGATGAATAGACTCTGGCTTTACATCCAACACCGCCTCTGTGCCTGTAGTAGCTATTCCTCCAGCCTGTTCAATGATAAAAGCGATGGGGTTGCATTCGTACAAGAGCCGCAGCTAGGATAGAAGTGGAAAACCCATTATTCTCACTTTAATCTCTTTTGTTGAAACTATTTAAGAAGCAGTTGAAGAATTTATACCTAATCACAACAGTTTTGCAACTTTTAAACACTCATACATGTACCAACTGTCAGTTTTGAAGACCTTGCATTGCTGTTCTTTTTAAATCGCAACACCAATAAATGCAGTGCAGTGCAAGTTAATTTTCCAATTCATTTCAATAGGAACACGAATTGTATTTTCTACAGCAAAGAGTAAGCATGATCAGGAAGAACAATAGTTTTGTAACAGTCTTACATGTAGAAAGTCCAGATCTAACCCTACTATTCTCTGGTAATAAATTCTACTTAAGATTTTGGAGAGGCAGGCAATCTGGATGTGCTGCCCGGCTCGCGGGAGGCTTGCGTGGCAACACTGGCAGCAGGCAGAGGCAGAGGCACGGGGGGAGAGGCAGGCGATCCTCACGCGCTGCCCACTCTATCTCCCTGTCTCTTAGCTTGCCCGCCGTTGCGCTGGGATTGCCTGCCTCCCCCGTGCCTCTTCCTCTGCCTGCTGCCGGTGCCACCCGCAAGCCTCCCACAAGATTCCTGTGAACCAGGCGGCCACGCAGGATGTACAAATTGCCTGCCCCCCCCGCCTTTACCTTCGCGCTCGAACTTACCTGTGCTGCACCAAGGGGCCGGCAGGCTGCGACTACTGCCAGACACCATCGGCCCTTGCATGCTCGCCACTTCTTGTTCTAGCCACGCCCGCCCCCAGGCTTATTTTTGGGGTAGGGCTTATATTAGGCCCACCCCAAAAAATTAGGCTAGGGCTTATTTTGGGGGGTGGGTCTTATTTCCAGGGAAACACGGTAGTTCAACCATTGTGTACTTGGATTTTTTTTCACTAGGTAGCTTTCAAAATGATCTGTAAACCTGCACAACACTAATGTATAGTTTAAAATGTTCCAGGACTAACTAAGAAAACTTAGCAATGAACATGTTAGAAAACAAATTATTTCTGCTGCTGTTTAAAATCAAATTTTACCCTCTCCAGAGAATTTCACATTATTATCATCTTCTACAATAACTAAAAATGAGAAATCCTGAATTCATGAGGACCTTGTCAAGGTTTAGAAAATTGCAGCAGCAGATTCAAAGACTGATTGAAGCCATAAGCCAAATGCCATTATTTAAACAATGATGTAATATAATTTTCATATTAGTCTGTACTGGTGGTGCTATGATTAATTTTCTAATAACTGTGCAAAGTAATTCTAAACACATTTACTCACACATATAGCATATTGTGATACATTGGGGGTTTCCCAAATAATAAGTGTTGCTGGGAATTGGGCGGCATTTAAATTTAATAAATAATAATATGGAAATTTTTCTTATATACCTATTCCTAATTTTTACTGCATTTATTGGATTCCTTGTGTCAATTGATTCTTTAATTCTAAATCCTGATTTTCCAAGGAACAAAAACGCCCACCTTTTTCATTAAAAATGTACTTTCTTATAATAAGTCAATTTAAATTAAAAGCTTACCTTTCCTTTGGGACTTTTCTGGTTAGCTGGATATAAAAATATCCCACCATACACCAGGGTACGGTGAACATCAGCTACCATGGAGCCTACGTATCTGGCTCCATAAGGAGATATTCCTTCCTGTAAAGCAGAAATACAGATTATATCAGAATGGAGTTGTTCGTACTCATTACCTGCTAGTGCAAACCTGAACCTAATCTGAGGCATAATTCAGAGGGAAGAAAAACAATGAAATACCTAGTCTGTAATTCCAGTAATTCTGTATCCGTGGAATTCTGGACATAGAAATAAGTTCCATATTGTTGTGGAAAAACCCAATGGAAAAGACAACAAAAAGCAACACAAAACAATAATTCTTACTTTAAGATTCAGAGATTTATTTTGCTAATGATTTGGAACATAGCAAGCATAATAACACAACATCACTTACATTAATAACCCATTGCAATGAGGACCATATGGCATAGCGGATTCCAAAAAGACAGTTATAGGCCAATGGCAAATCAATCAGGTCCAGTCCCAACCCTTTATACCTTTTCTCGTTCTAAGACTGTAGGCAGATGGTCTACTGGCTTTTGCTGACTTCCTACTGACTTCCTGCTGACCTTCTGCTGAACATAACTTTCCACATATACCGTATATTCCGGCGTATAAGACGACTTCCACAAGCGTTAAAATCGGCGCCAAAGTTGGGGGTCGTCACAGCTGAGTCGTCTTATACGCCAGAAATACTGGTAGTTTCCAGTGTATAAGACGACGTTCTAGGCATGCGACTCAGCGCCAAAGACAGGGATCGTCTTATACGCCGAGTCGCCTTATACGCCAGCATATACGGTACCCATGTACATTGGAACCCACATCCATCAGCTACTTTCAATTCCCTATTTCTTACTGTTCGTCCTTATGTTCTAAATGTACACAGAACTTTGCAATTTCATATTACACAAAGCTCAGCAGATTGCAAATAATACGTCCGTATTGTGAAACAATATAGAGTTCAAGTTAAAGCTTTGTTTTAAATCACTACTGTGGGGCTTATCTCAGGTTTGCTCCAGCTTCATCTTGTTATATGAGGAAGGGGCTATATTTTCATCTCTCACAATATCAATCCAATTTTTTGGCTGGCAGAAATCCAAATGTGGCAAAATATCATACCCTAATATCTCTGACCCAGTGCAATATTGTATCCCTGGCAAAACAGACTATAGTATTAAATGTTTTCAAGCCCTGAGAAAGAGTACAGAGAAGAGCAACAAAGATGATCAGGGGACTGGAGGCTAAAACATATAAGGAACGGTTGCTGGAATTGGGTATGTCTAGTCCAGGGGTAGGCAACCTTGGCTCTTTTATGACTTGTGGACTTCAATTCCCAGAATTCCTGAGCCAGCTGTGCTGGCTCAGGAATTCTGGGAGTTGAAGTCCATGAGTCATAAAAGAGCCAAGGTTGCCTACCCCTGGTCTAGTCTAATGAAGGACGAGGGGGGACATGATGGCAGTGTTCCAATATCTCAGGGGCTGCCACAAAGAAGAGGGAGTCAAGCTATTCTCCAAAGCAACAAGAAGCAATGGATGGAAACTAACCAAAGAGAGAAGCAACCTAGAACTAAGGAGAAATTTCCTGACATTTAGAACAATTAACCAGTGGAACAACCTGCGTCCAGAAGTGTGATTGCTCCAACACTGGAATTTTTTAAGAAGAGACTGGACAGCCAGTCTGAAATGGTATAGGGTTTCCTGTCTGAGCAGGGGGTTGGACTAGAAGACTTCCAAGGTCCCTTCCAACATTATTATTATTATTATTATTATTACTATTATTATTCATTAAATTATTGCCCTTATGGAGCCTGTGGATTTATTTAAGTTAGAATGAGATAGAGAGTGGACAAGAGTACAAATGGGGAAGTGCTGCCCTATCACCCTTCTGAATTTCCACTGCTATCTCCCTTTCTTATTTTGTTACATTCCAAGCCACTTTCACCGCTCAGAGTAAACAACTCATAGATTTCCCTTTCAGATGACAAAAGAAACAGATAATGATTGATGGTTTGGAGTGATTCATTTTTTCCTTTCCAGAAATAGCTTGGACACTTGGAAAGATAGAATTCTACCATTTGAGATTGCCTAAATGCTCTGGAGACTAAAACACACAAAGAACGGCTGCGGGACTTGGGCTTGGCCAGTGTAAAGAAAAGAAGAAATAGGGGAGACATGATAGCAGTATTTCAGTATCTGAGGGGCTGCCACAAGGCAGAGGGGGCTAAGTTGTTCCCCAAAGCACCAAAGGGAAGGGCAAGAAACAATGGTTGGAAACTGATCAAAGAGAGAAGCAACCTGGAATTAAGGAGACACTTCCTGACAGTGAGGACAATTAACCAGTGGAACAGCTTTTGCTTTCAGAAATTGTGGGCGCTCCATCACTGGAGATTTTTAAGAAGAGACTGGACAGTCACTTGTCTGAGATGGTATAGGTTCTCCTGCTTGAGCGGGGGCTGGACTAGAAGACCTCCAAGGTCCCTTCCCATTCTATTCTATTCTGTTCTGTTCTGTTCTGTTCTGTTCTCTCAAACAAAAGTCACAGTTTATGGATAGAACCTGAGTTCTGAGTAAGCCTGTTGGTTCCATTCCAGTCTGCTTGTTTTTAAAGGGCAGCTCCTCATCATGCAGACGTTTCAGACTATTATATTAATTTTCACTTATGCTTTGTAGTCGTGCACCTGTATTCAAGGAAGTTCCCACCACATCATTCAAAAAAGATGATTCTACAATGAGCAGCAAAACAGAGATATACTTCATTTCCTTTTCCATCTTCACATATATGTCCAAACAAAATTTAAACCCCATTCCACGCCCCCAAAGAAGCAACATAGCAACAATCAATCTCATATAACCCAATGCGGGTAGTCCTCAACTTACAACAATTCATTTAGTGACTGTTCAAAGTTACAAAGGCTCTGAAAAAAGTGACTTATGACCGTTTTTCACACTTACGACCATTGCAGCAGCCCCTTGGTCACGTGAACAAAATTCAGATTCTTGGCAACTGACTCATAGTTATGACAGTTGCAGTGTCCTGAGGTCATGTGATCACCTTTTGCAACGTCCTGACAAGCAAGGTCACTTAACCGTGTCACTAACTTAATAACTGGAGTGATTCATTTAACAACTGTGGCAAGAAAGGTTGTAAAATGGGGCAAAATTCACTTAACAAATATTTCACTTAGCAACAGAAATGTTGGGCTCAATTGTGCTCATAAGTTGAGGACTACCTGTATTAGCAACAATCAATCTCATCAACATCATTCAAGCCACCTGTTGGAAATGGCCTTAGGTGCTTGGGGTGGGAACTAGGATCTGCTGGGGAAAAAAAGTTAATTCCTTCTATAATATCAGCAAAGATCATTTTTATGTCTTGCGGTTTCTTTCAGCAATTGGAATAAAAGGGATATCTTTTTTCCCCCTAAAGGGATGGTTTGAAAATCAATTCAATAGACAGCTTTCAAAGTTATTCCTTGATTCAATTATATTTCTTTAAAATAACGTGATAGCTTTGGCTTCAGATCAGTGGCTTAAGCTTAAGTGTTCTTTTCCTTGAAACAATTTCACACAGAAAGGATGCAGCGATCAACCCATGGGGCAATTTGCATAGGTGGGAGTTTCAAAAGCTACAAAATATCTAGGGCTGGCTCAGGAATTCTGGGAGTTGTCCACAGGTTGTGAAGTTGCCATAATTGCCATAAAGTTTGATCTAGGGCAGGGATCTGCAACCTTGACAACTTTAAGACTTGTGGACGTCAGCTCCCAGAATTCCTCAGCCAGCTATGCTGGCTGAGGAATTCTGGGAGCTGACGTCCACAAGTCTTAAAGTTGTCAAGGTTGCAGACCCCAGATCTAGGGGAAGATTTTAGTTCTCCTTTCTTAAGAACTTAATAGCAATGTGTATCTGATCATTACAGTTGACAGTGACGTAATAAGTACAGCTAAATCGAAGATTATAGAGTAAATAAGATTGTAATCTCATTTCCTACCAATCTTTCTACAAACGCACTTACAACACAACGATGGCAAAAGCTACCTACATGCTTTTTATCCAACGCACAGTGAGTTTTGTGGAGAGATAACACTGCAATTCTACTGGTTAATCCCCTACAGAACAAGTACAGTGGTTTTAGTGGTTTTCTACATATAGGTTATAAGGCTAAGGAACTCCTACTATGCCCATTGTTTTCTCCCCTAGATAGCTAATCATCTGATCAGAGAAGAAAAATACAGCATATTCTTACACAAAATCAGCCTTCTCTGACTTTTTTCAGCCTTCTCTCTATTCCACGCCTCAAAATTCTCATCAATGGCCATGGCTGACTGGAATTTTGGGGTGTTGATTTTACAATCATCGGTGCAAAGGCTGAGAAAGAATGAACTAAGGGATGCCAGCCATGGAGAGATCATTTAAGTATCTATCAAAAAAAAAATCCAATGAATCAATGCACAATCAATTGCAATACGCTGTTTAATCAACACTATGATTAGGATCACAGCAGTGGCTGTCTAAGATTTACAGATCTGTCTGTTCAATTTTGTAAAAAAAAAAAATATTATACGGTTGTGTAAAAGAAAGTAAGTAAACCAGTCCCTCTCTGTTTCTCTTTCTCCACTGTCCTGGTTTCAGTCGAATATATGTGTTTGTGAAAATGTGAAATAATGTCATCCTGAACTACAGTAAACTGAACAAAATCACACCTACTGGCTTCATGGAATTCCTGCCCATGAACTGCACTAAATGTACAGGTGATTATGAAACAGGTATAAACCAAGGTAAAGTCACCAAAATCCAGATACTATATAATAGAGTGAAGTCATTTGCTGGTTTTTATTTCTGATTCTTTTGTGATAAATTTCACAAACAAAATTCAAGTTTCTAGGTCAAGTTCTGAATCAGACAAATCGGGCAACTAAAGCAACAGGCAAAAAAATACATTTTTCTGAAGGTTTCTTATTTGGCTGAAAAATGAATCATGAGGTGAGTTGCTGTTGCACTTGAGAGAAGCACACAAAAACCAGCTGCTGCTGATTTAAACCATGTATATCTTTGTAAGATTAATTTTGCAATAGTGGTGAATATTTGTAGCTCGGGTGTAGAATGAGAGTAAAGGTTCGTTCTCAGAGCTTGTGGGATGGTTTCTGAACATTTCATTATTAGGCGAGGTAACATCTTCAATGGAGTTTAGGGGATCTATTAAACTTGGCTGAAGATGTTACCTAGCCTGGTAACGAAACATTTGGAAATCAATCCACAAGCTTGGAGAACAAACCTTCACTTTCAAAACTAATTTTATTTCAATCTATTAAAGTCACTTGGAAAAGTATTAAGTAAGTAAGTGAGTGAGTGAGTGAGTGAGTGAGGGAGGGAGGGAGGGAGGGAGGGAGGGAGGGAGGGAGGGATGAAGGAAGGAAGGAAGGAAGGAACCTTAAATCTTAAAAACACAATTACAGAAGTATGGTTCAGAATCCAAATTTACCATATTATACAGCATCCTATTCATGAATTTGGAATAGGAAATATCAAAGGATTGGTTCCCATGTAGGGTAAATAAAGCCATCTACATAATACTTCTCTTTGTGTTCTTTTTCTAAAGCAGAATAACCTCATGCCCCAGGGCACACATAGTCCTTACACTCCCTTCTTTTCTGGGTTTTTTTCCAGGCCTTAGTAGGCTTTTCTAATTACCTGGCAAAAGTATTTTTGGTTATTTTGAAATGCAAAACAGGTACCTATTGTAGAAGCCATAAAATGAGATTAAATCCATTTATAAAACAAATGGTCTACTAAACTCAGGGGAAAAGGCAGACATCTATCATTCCTGGTTGATGTGATCCAGTATGGAACCGCTGTACCCCTCTTCCCCAAATAGTAATGTAGCCCCAACTAGGTTTTAGTGCTAGTGAGGGAAAGATTGCCTCTCTCCTCCCAGTTTTAAATTAATCAAAGTTATTGGTTACACTTGCTTTTGCTACAGTTTTCTGGATTCCGATTCAGCTGGATGTAGTAGTTAGAGCACTGGGCTGAGATTGAGAGATCATGAGTCCTATCCTGCCTTAGGCACACATCTTGGAACAGTCACTTTCTCTCAGCCCTAGGAAGGAAGCCATGGCAAATACACATCTTAAATTTTGCCAAGAAAAGCTCCAGCAATTTGTCCAGGTAGTTGCCAGGAATCAAGATTGACTCAAAGGCATGAGAAGAAAAAAAACAAACTAGTTTTAGCAAAGCATTATTTTCTTATCTTTTCTCATCTGTTTAATTCCTTGGGCTCATTATTCCTTATTCCTGGCTCATTTTCTGTGCTTTCTACTGTATTAAAAAGTTTCTTACTCCAAAAAAAAAAAAAAAAAAAAGAATAGATGGATATGGATGTATTTAATATGTTATAGGTGTTCGCACAAAATTGCTTCCATGAAAATGCCTGATCACAGCTGAAACACTGAGTATAGCCAATCAGCTGTATCCTAGACCATTCTAGTAAATTTATCCTTGTCAGCCCTGAGCTCCCAAGATATTTCTACCACTTCAGACATACCCTCATTTTATTTTTGAAGAATGTCAGTGATATTATGTAAACTCAGAAGCTTTCTTGAAAATAAATACGTAAGATGATGCTTTGCATGATAGCAAGCTGGATTTCTTTTAAAAATGCTAACATATTTTGTAAAAAAATAAAATAAAAATAGTTATGAGCTCAATCTTTCGAGGAAATAAGTCCCACTGTCCTGAAAAAAATGTGTCCATGTAAGACTACAACTATAGTATCAATAGTTCAATGTATTGTAGGCTGGGACCTATTTTTTGGATGGCATGCCTATTTAATATTTAATAAAAAAGTGGATTGGGTTTTTAAGTCTCATATTATAAGAAACTCTTTGCTAAGAGTGTGGAGAAAGTATTATAAAAGTGACTTCAAAATACCATTATGGGCTATACCTCGGCATGCCATAGAAGGTATAAGGAAAGGGGTAAATATGGACAAGGTCTCTTACGTACAGTTATTAAGATGGGATGGCCAAGACTGGCAGTTAAAATCTTTGGAAGAATTAACACATGAAAACTTAACTTATTCATGGTTCCAATATAGACAAATAGTGGATAGATGGAAGATGGATTGTAAAATGGGCTGGCTTAGAGAAGATGAAATTTTTTTAAAACAAGTAAGAGATCAAAGGCCAACCCATATTAAGAGAGTTTATGGGGTTTTAGTGGAATTAGATTCAGAACTTGAACTAGTTAAAGATTGTATGATTAAATGGGCACAGAATATTGGTGAAACGATTTCAATGGATACTTGGGAACTTATTTGGATAAGAAATGTTAAATTCACACAAGCGCAAAATTTAAGAGAGAATTTTTATAAGATGTTTTATAGATGGCACCTTGACCCAAAGAAAATGTCCATTATGTACCCTAATCTACAGCCGAAATGCTGGAGATGTGGATATTTGGATGCTACCTATTACCATATTTGGTGGACGTGTAAGCATATAAAAGCTTTTTGGATTAAGATATGGTGGAATATTCAAAGAATTTTTAAAAGGAGGGTAAAATTTACTCCGCAATTATTTTTACTAGGTATTGTTATTGACTGTGATGCTAAGGAGGTTATATTGATGTTAAATTTGATTACAGCCGCTAGGTTGTTAATAGGACAATATTGGAAGAAGGAATCTTTGCCTACTTTACAAGAATGGTTTCATAAAGTTTCGTATTTGGCAGAAATGGCAAAGATTTCGGCTTTCTTAAAGGAGCAATCTCAAGAAAATTTTTTTGCGGTATGGGAAAAATGGATAAATTTTATACAACATAATTTGGATATGGAAAAATATTATTTAGCCTTTTTATAATTTGTAATGATTGTTTTTTCTTTCTTTCTTTCTTCTTTTTCTTTTTTATATATATACATTTTTTATGTATTATTATTCATATATTTTTTTATATATATATATATATGCTTTATTCTTCGTCTACTTTCTTCTTTCTTCTTTCTCTCTCTCTTTTCTCTTTTTATTTTTTTATTTTTTTTTTCTTTTTTCTTTTTTAGTATATATTATTCATTTTAAAGTTTATGTTATCTATATTATTATTATATATATTATTATTGTGATTTTTATTATTATTATTAATTATTTTATAAATTGCAAATGTTATTTTTAAAATATTTGTTAAATAATCCTGTATTCAGTTCTGGGAAGTCGGGGGGGGGGGGTGGGGTGGTTGGGGAGGGGGGGGTGGATTTTTATTTGTAAAACTTTTGAAAAATTTCAATTAAAAAAAAAAAAAAATAGTTCAATGTATTGTGGCAGTTTAAACTATGGAATTTATCCAGCACCCAATATTAAAACTTTTTCTATCACTATATAGCATATCACTATGCTATATACTGTATTTCACAATTCTATAATGTATGCACTTTGGGAGTAGCCTCCTTATATTTTGTTCTTGAGCTAATGCAGCGGTTCTCAGCCTATGGGTCGCGACCACATTTGGGGTCGATCGACCATTTCACGGGGGTCGCCAAGCAAGGCTGTCCACCATTTTTTCCCCCTTTTCTGGCAGGTGCCTTACCTCCCTTGGGCTGGACCAGCTGGTGGCCCAGCCAGTGGTCGGCCTGCTCCGTCTCTGCCGCTTGCCAGCTACACCTCGGCCGGCGCAGGGGGCAGCACCACGCATGCGCGGTGCTCCCGGGCAGGGAAAGTCCTCGATTTACAACCGGTTGGGTCGTCCTCGACTTACGACCGGTTTAGTCCTCGATTTATGACCGGTTTAGTCCTCGACTTACGACCGGTTGGGGATAGTGGCATTAAAAAGGTTGAGAACCACTGAGCTAATGTAATGTTTTTAAAACAGATGTCTGTCTTTTTGCTAAATAGTATGATTTGCTATTGAATGGAGTTTTACTTAGATTCAGGTCTTCCAGTGCTTTTAGACAACAAGTTTTCTCCTTGAATGCATTAATGCAACTGTAATCACAATTCTTGGTGGGAGATACAAAGCTAAACTATATTAAATATGTATGCACCAAGTACTACTACTTGTGATTAATGGCAGTCAAATGGTAAATTACCTCAGGAAATTTTTTCTTTTGTAAATACTCAGTCACAGCAGGATCAAAATACTTTGCATAACCTTCATTAAGACTATAGATTTTTCCTTTCTTCTTGATTTTCACATCTTTTTCCACCAAAATGAATTCACCAAGAGCCTACAAGCAGATAAAATAAATAAAGGAGCTTATTCATATACTATTAATTCACACACCATCTTAATGACTTATTACTGTAAAAATTTCCCATTCTTTCAAGCAATCAGGTAAAACTCAATTTAATCCGCTTTTAAAGGAATAAAAATAATTGAACTTAGTGATAATCAATTCTAAGAAATCTCTTCAGCTTAAATTGTCTTTGCATAGAGTCATAAGCATCTTAGAGATTTTTTGAATAGATTTCAGGTCTGCACTGTCTACTTTGTTCTATAGTGGAAGAGCCTATAGTCCATCAGCTGGAGCCCAGGATTCAAAATAGTAGGATGGACCACTAAACTAAGAATTAAGGATAAGAATATCCAAAGGCATATTCATTTTAAAAAAAACCAGTTTTGGGTTCTCCTCCTCTAAGCATTACTTTTCAATAATGTAATAATTGGGAGGAAAGGCTTTTGAAGTGTTGATAATTCTGGGATTTAGAAACCTTTACCAATCTTCTGAGGACCTCCCAGAAGCTGACCAATACATCTCAGTCTACGTTTTGACTTCTCCTGATAATATTCCAATAGTGATGTCAAAAAAGACGGGGATCATCACTAGAAATGAAAGTGACTAAAGCAGTGCAGACTCAAGCTAGAAAAATTTAAGTTAAGTTAAAACTAATGTGCTTCCACTTTAGCATCAACAGGAAATACTATTCTAGTGAGAGTTCTTTTTTTTTTCTCCTAGCAAAATTGTGAGCAAATTAGAGAATAATTCAGTTTTTGCACAATCTGCTTAACAATTAAAATCTGGCCACATTTTTATGTATGGATAATAAAACAGCTTTCACTTCCTAAATCTCCAGTTCAGTGTTCCCTTGCTTGTTGAAATATGCTTGAAAGCTTTTATCATCTGCTATTTCCACATACTGTTTCCCAAACTCTTTTTAATGGCAGCTAATGTTGTTCATTCATTTGACGAAACTCCTCTTGGTTTCACTGCTTTGAACGCTAAGGTAGCATGCAGTCACTCTTCTGTTCTGACTTTGGAGAAGCCTTGTCATATCAGCTGTTCTGTAGTTTTTGAGGACCAGATCCAGAAATGTATTTCATGCCTCATCCAAATGATTTGTACATGCCAATTCATAAGCAATCATTTTGCCACCATGGCAATATATTGGTGTTATACTGCCAAAAACCAGCTCAGGAAGCTTTGCTCTTACTCAGAATGGCCTCTATATCAAGGCTTCCCAACCACCGGTCTGTGGACCTGCACCGGGCCACGGCATGCCAGAAACTGGGCCGCACAAACAAGCAAACCACCATCGGCGGGATGCAGGCAACACATGAAACCGCGCCCCCTCCAGTCCATGGAAAAAACTCTCTCCACAGAATTGGTCCCTGGTGCCCAAAAGGTTGGGGGCCACTGCTCTATATTATAAACACTTTATCTCCCCACCACCACAGTTCCTGGAAAGGGAGATGGTTTCCCCATGGAATATGAAACAGCAACCAAAGCATACTTATGCTTAGTATTTGTATCATACCGGATCCAACATAAAGCAGTCCACTCCTTGCCCTGTTGAAAGGGCAACCAGCGTTGCACTGCCATACAGAGCATAGCCTGCAGCGACAATGTTGCGTCCAGGTTGTAAGGCGTCTTTTTCAGAAGGCTCATCTTCAGAGGTCTAAAAGAAAAAAAAAATTGCACTATAAGCACTGTTCATATAATTTGCTGTTTCGAAATTTAAACTGGAGGAAAGAAACTTAAAATGTATGGATAGGACTTTCTCTCAATGATTGGAACTACAGTGTGTCTGTTATACTGAGACTGAACAGGCTTTTTTGTAAAAGAATATTACAGTAAATATAATTGAACTACAAATACTGCCAAATTACAAATAAGAACATTAACAGTAAAGATATACTAGCTGCAGGTCAAGTCATAAACTGAAATAATAATAGCAACAACAACAACAACAATAATAATAAAGTTGGAAGGGACCTTGGAGGTCATCTAGTCCAACCCCCTGCTGGGGCAGAAAACCCTATACCATTTCAGACAAATGGCTGTCCAGTCTCTTCTTAAAAACTTCCAGGGCTGGAGCATTCACTGCTTCTGGAGGCAGATTGTTCCACTGGTTAGTTGTTCTAACTGTCAAGAAGTTTCTCCTTAGTTCTAGGTTGCTTCTCTCTTTGATTAGTTTCTATCCGTTGCTTCTTGTCCTGCCTTCAGGTGCTTTGGAGAATAGCTTGATTTCCTCTTCTTTGTGGCAGCCCCTGAGATATTGGAACACTGCTATCATGTCCCCCCTACTCCTTCTCTTCATTAAACTAGACATACCCAATTCCAGCAACCATTCCTTATAGGTTTTAGCCTCCAGTCCCCTAATCATCTTTGTTGCTCTTCTCTGTACTCTTTCTAGAGTCTCAACATCTTTTTTACATCGTAGTGACCAAAACTGGATGCAATATTCCAAGTGTGGCCTTACCAAGGCATTGTAAATACTTCACATGATCTTGATTCTATCTCTCTGTTAATGCAGCCTAGCATTGTGTTGGCCTTTTTGGCAGCTGCAGCACACTGCTGGCTCATATTTAAGGGATTGTCCACTAAGACTCCAAGATCCATCTCACAGTTACTACTATTGAGCAAGGCACCTTCTATACTATACCTGTGCATTTGGTTTTTCTTGCCTAAATGTAGAACCTTACTTTTCCACCATTGAATTTCATTTTGTTAGATAACGCCCAGTGTTCAAGTCTGTCCAGATCCTCCTGTATCTTAAGCCTATCTTCTGGAATGTTGGCTATTCCTGCCAGGTTGATATCATCTGCAAATTTGATGAGTTCCCCATCTATCCCCTCATTCAAATCATTGATGAAAATATTGAAGAGCACTGAGCCCAGAACAGAGCCCTGGGCACCCCACTACACACTTCTGTCCATGTAGATGCAGTTCCATTGAGGATCACATGCTGAGTACAGCCGGTCAGCCAGCTACGAATCCATCTGGTGGTGATGCTGTGTAACCCACATTTTTCTATCTTATCAAGTAGTAGGTTGTGATCTATTTTATCAAATGCCTTACTGAAGTCCAAGTAAATTATATCCACATCATTCCTCTGGTCCACTAATTTTGTCACTTGGTCAAAGAATGCAATAAGATTTGTCTGGCATGATCTGTTTTTGACAAACCTATGTCAGCTTTTAGTAATGACTTTGTTTGCCTCTAGGACATGTTCACTGATTCGTTGTTTGATGATCTTTTCCAGAATCTTCCCAGGTATGGAGGTCAGGCTGATAGGTCTGTGGTTTCCTGGATCTATTTGTATAAGTAACTTGCCCATGTTAATAATCAATCTTCAATAACAGGAAATCAAATGAAACACTGAGTACTTTAACATTGTCCCTTTACTTATTTCAAATGTCACTGTGAGACTCAATGCCTGTGTTAAGTCTATTTGCAAATGGCTAATAATTACTATTAGCTCAAGTTTAATAACAGCTAGCCATCAATGGAAAATGTCCTTTGAAACAAATCTTTTTAGGTCAAAGATGCACATTCTGTGAGTTCAAGCCTTATTGGGGCTTGATAGGGATATACTGAAATTCTCTCTGGCAATTTAAGATTGGTTTCATAACAAAGTGCAGATTATAATATGCACAAATTGCCAGAAACCACACTTAATCTGGAACAATTTCAGACATTCAGAACAGCCTGAAGAACACAACTGCAAAAAGTTTAAAAAGTATGTGATACTGGATGGTTATTTAATCATTATTCCAGATAATTAGTGCAAAAGGCTTAGCAAATCAGGACTCTGCTCTAAATTGATCAGATAACTTTTAGGTGTGATCTGATCTTTTACTAGAAATGCTGGGCTATATCTCTCTACCAAAATATTGGAACATATTCTTGGGATTTAATGTTAAACTATATAATATGTACAATATCACGTAGATTGTCTTCTAGTTTTTCTTTTCTCTAATGTATGGATAAGGGAAGAGCAATCTGGTTTTAATATACACAGGATGGAGCATCCTAAAGTGTTCCACAGCAAAGTCTGTTTCCCATGTTAGTATTGCTTGTTTCAATACCAATCGATGATTTATAGGCAGACTGTACATTATACTGTTATTTCGTTTATTCTGACCCACTCAGAGATTGAGATGCTCAATTGACAGCAGTCAGAAGACTGACGATCCATCCAACAAGATCCATATACAAATCAATAGATTCATATCACGTTCCAGGGAGGATTACGACAAGAAAGACCACTGTTTGTCACTTTACAGTTCATAATTCAACACACTCAAATCAATTATTAATAAACAAGAGCCCATGCTGGTCACATCAGGACACACAATAAAGACAAAGTAATATCAAAGCCAGTTGGGTATAGTGGTTAAGACATGAGTAGGCAACCTTGGCTCTTTTATGACTTGTGGACTTCAACTCCCAGAATTCCTGAGCCATTCTAGGAGTTGGTCCACAAGTCATAAAAGAACCAAGGTTGCCTACCCCTGGGTTAAGGCCTCAGGCTAGAGACAAGGAGTTTTAGTCAATCGGGTGACTTTGAGCCAATCTCTCTCAGCCTTAGGAAACAGGCAATAACAAACTACTTCTGAAATCTTGCGAAGAAAACTGTGGGGAAATGTCCAGGCAGTAATCATGAACCAATACAGACTCAAAGGCATACACACGCATAGACAATCAGAACACTTCAGTTTCCTGGGACACTCCATTACAGATCTCAAAGAGTCTTTGGGGTGGGGGGGAAACTTTATTAGCACAATTAAGTGAGAAGCTCCTGAAGCGACATACAACAAAACACTTTAGGCCACCTCGGAAGGTCCCAACCCAAAATGGATTTTTACTTGCAATACTTTGCCACCATTAATTGATGAGGTATTTATACTCTCTTTCACATGCAATTTGCATCTACAGAACTACCCTGAAGATCCCAAAAGTGATGCCTTTTGCTGATAATGGCTGTCTTCAACTTACAGTCACAACTGAAGCCCAAAATTCCTGCTGCTAATCTGAGACAGTTGCTCCATTTTACAAACTTTCTTGCCACAGTTGTTAAGTGAATCACTGCAGTTAAGTTAGTAACAAGGCTGTTAAGTGAACCTGCCTTCCCCATTGACTTTGCTTGCCAGAAGTCAAAAAAGGGGGATCCCAGGACCCTGGGACAATATGAATCAATTGCTGCAACAGTCGTAAGTGTGAAAAATGGTCATGTTGCTTTTTTCAGTGCTGTTGTAACTTCGAATGGTCACAGGACTACCTGTATTATTTAAAAGCAAGAAAACATGGAAGAACCTGACTGCCATTTCACGTTTGTTACTTTAGCTGTCTTGGGGTCACAGAGTATAATTGATTAAAGAAATGTGGCTCAGTGGTGAGAATATAAGATGTCTTATATATAGAAGATAAGAGGATCAACCACCATAACTCCAGTTCACCTCTCTGCTTGAGAACGTGAGGTAACTAATACCAGCAACATCAGATTTTATAGGGTTGGTTGAACATATATTTGGATCTGATTCAGAGTTGTTTCCTAGGCCTGTTGTTTCACCAAAGAGTTCTTCAACCTGGTATCGCACAAATTCAACAACCTTGATGACTATCAATTTGAGGGAAAATTCCGTAAAGTGAATGCTTTTTCTGGCAATCTATAAATGACCTTAATAAAATGCGATATTACAAGATATTTGTTCTGCATTTTTGGATATTACTATTAACTATTCCACTTCTTTTCAGCTGCTTACCTTTTTATAAATTGCAAATATTGTTCCTATTGAGGCTAAACAGTCTATATTGGAAGAGCCATCTAGTGGATCAAAGCACACCACATATTTACCCTGAAAGAGAAGAAGCAAAAGCAGTCTTAAAACAGATATTAGCAGGTACAATTTTCATTCACAGTTTAGTAAAAGCTAATTTAGAAAGTTAGCAGTTCTGAGAACTCTGCTTTATGCAGAAGAACAGTCCAAAGGTGCATTTTTACATCAGAGGGTTGATGAAAAGTAGACTATTAAATGGTCCAATACCAACTGCCGACAATCGGTATTGTACTTCTTTTATATAGTACAACTTGTACTGTACCACACAGACACACACAGAGAGAGAAACAAAAAAATGTAATAGGGAAATAAAACAGTTCTTGTCTGGCTGTTTCTGGTAAATTGCCAGAAGCTAAAGCTATTTTTTTTTTCCTGCAGTTATTCAACTGCGGTATCAAATATTATTTCAGGAAACTTGGCGGCTTCCTGATCCAGTTTTTCAGGGAAACTGAGAACTGAAATAGGGTATCAGTGAAATCAGGCACCTGACTTTCACCAGTGAGATTATGTACAGTAAGTACTGGTAAAGCAAAGCCATCCTTGGATACAAGGTGATGTATTTATTTCTCTCCATGGTTCATTTTGGAAATTATGTCAGGTACCTTTTAAGGCTGAACTAGAATCTCAGGGAAGAGATTCCATGTTTTCATTCATATTTATTGAGAACTTTCATATAAGATATGTGAAAAGACAAATCAAAAGAAACAAATCCCTCCCCCACAAAAAAAAACAGAAAAGTGCAAGAAAATTAAGAAATGCAAATTATTTCTGACCTTATTTTGAACAGATAATTACATTCTTATTCACCTCCACATTTAATCCACATCTTTTTAACTCTTCAATTCATAAATCAATAAATTCATTTTTTTCTTCTTTTGACAAAAAAGTCTGAGACTTCATATTTTCAAATCTCCTGCTCCCCTTCCAAGTGAATTGTGCACAAAATATGTGCAAAAGTCAGATAGGAAATCTATCCTGCCGGGGGGGGGGGTTTAAACCAGTTCTCCTTCAATTGATGGAAAACTATTTTATTCCTCTACGTCTTTCCAAGTAAAATAATAGTTCACTGCATGCTTGTTGGTAGAACATGGCGTACATTTAATTGTAGGGTGGCCCAGTGCGAGTATCCTGCCTATCATAATACACAAAGCCCCAGAATAAGGCTCAGGCATTTCCTCACACGTATCTAAATCCTGCAATCTTTGTTATTCTGTGTCGTCATAATATCGTTTTCCCTAGTCAATAAGAGAGGCAGCCTCCAGCTATCCTTAGCTATTCTGTTTTTAAAGGAGTGTTTATCCTCTTAGGGGTTGTCACCAAGAAGAATAGAGTGGACCTACTCTCCAAAGCACCTGAGGGCAGGACAAGAAGTAACTGTGTGGAAGATCATTAAAGAGAGAATTAAGGAAAAAATTCCTGACAGTGAGAATAGTTAATCAGTGGAATGGCTTGCCTCCAGAAGTTGTGGGTGCTCCAACACTGGAGGTTTTCAAGAAGAGACTGGACAGCCATGTGTCTGGACTAGTACTATAGGATATCTTGTTTGAGTAGGTGGCTAGACTAGAGGACCTCTAAGGTTTCTTCCAACCCTATTATGTTCTATGTTCTTATCTTGACATGGTTTTTGTCATGGATTCAATCTGGCATGCTTCACTGATCATCCAGTTGCTGATATGGTTGGGATCAGCTCGGATCATATTGGCAATTTAGCTTTGTGTTAGCAACACCCTCCCCCCCCCCCCGATGTTTGGATGCTGTCCTCCATTTTAGTTCGATATGGATATGAGAAAGTTTTTCTTTCAGACTAAGTTCTCCCTCAGTTTAAGCAGTTCAATCTTAATTCAGTTTTGGAAGCTTGGGAGCAGTGTTATCTGTTGCATGTTGCACGAAGCAATATTCAGTTCTGGAACTGTAGATTGTCAACTTTGCCCCCAGACGTTTTCAGCTACAGAGCATTGTCTAACATTTTTCTTTGGAGCCCCTTGGAAAAAAAATCTTTTTTCCTACCGCGATTCAATTGCGCCCCCTGCTGCTAAATGAGGGATCACTCTCTTCCCCTTAATTAGACCACATACTGACCCTCTTTTCTTTTGGAGTGATTATTGCTTCTTTATTCTCCTCAGAGACCAGGACGCAAGTGCTGTAGGAGGACTGGAGCATGTTGATAACCAGAGAATTGGACAACACATCCAGTTTTTTTTGCTCATCCCCGGTCACGTTCATGCTTCCTGCTATTCCATACCTATGGAGGGGAAAAGCCCACACGGTTATTACTAACATGAGAAAGAGTGAAGTTAGGGAAAAGCAAATGGATGTTCTTTATATTTTTGGATTGTACCTCTCATAGTCTTTTGCCATTGACCATGTTGAAGGACCATACTGAAAGCCTTTTGCAAGCACTGAGGATGTGGATGTGCTCCCAGGCATTTCCAGAGGTTAATTGGAGACCATGGATAATATTCAATTTATTGAATCTTTTTACCCCAGCAATCATGAAATAAGGCATATATAGGAGGAATGTGCTTTAAAGTGTTGCAAACCATTTCCTTAATATATGAATCTGCCTTTGTATCCTCCGTGTTTTGTTTAGCATAATCTTATTGACATCTTCAGTGTTAAATGTCCAGAACTGTTTCTGTAAAATGCCGATCATTGTAATACTTTAATAGGGTCCATTTCCATGGTTATCTCTGCTGGAAGGCTCTAAATGAATCCAAGATGAAATGAGAGAGAATTTTGATCAGCTCTGTGAGCTCCTTTCTATTTCAGCCAAGCTTCTCCTCTGCTCCATCATCCTGCCAGCTGGTCTATTTTTTTTTTTTTCACGCAAATTTATCCATCTTCTAGAACACTGGCAGACCTGAATTCAGAAATAGCCCCTTTGTATTGACAACTTGTCTCTTGGGCAACTTGAAAGGTGACTAAGGTCTGTAATCTAGGTACCATTTATTCTTGTCCAGCCTCATTCCATCATATGTTAAAGAGGAGTAATGAAGCCAAGGCACTCCATCAAATGCTGCCCTTCAATTGTCACAAGAACTAGTAGTGACACTACAAGGCTCAGTAATAAGGCAGAATAAAGCTTCATGATCAGAGCAGCAGAAATTAGTGAGTTATTTAACCAATGTTTGTATTGCCCCAATCATACATCTCTGGATGGTTCACAAGATGCAATCTCAGTAGAATAATAAATACAATAAAATAATACATAATAACAACTAACATTATATATTTCTACTGATTCAATGCACATTAATGAGCTTATAAGGATCTCTCTCTCTCTCTCTCTCTCTCTCTCTCTCTCTCTCTCTCTCTCTCTCTCTCTCTCTCTCTCTCCACTTAATTACATCCCTTTGCAAGCAATGAAAGGATAACTGCAGTTCCTTTCTAATAGGAAAGGCTTAAGATCTTCAGAACCAAATATAGCCCTTCCCCATGACCAATCCTTTTTCCATTTTTTGGACAGCATATCTGACTTTTATAAGAGTCAATCTCAAAGGCTGGCATGGGAACAAAAGGGTTTCTGCTATTTGATTTCCTCCTTCAAGGCCAAAGCCCTCTTTGTAATCTTGTAAGAAAAAAATCAAGAAAATCAGTTGCCTTGAGACATTGCACTAGGAAGCACAAGATTGCATTTTGGCAACTTATTCTCTGATTAACTCATTCATGTTCATATGAAATTATAAAAATATGCCATCCGGTTTCTGGAAGACAATCAAGACTTGTCAATGACATCAAACCTGTTAAACAACACAGTGCAATTTGCCACTTAGCACAATTCTGAATCCTTCTCTGAATGCATTTCCTATTGCATTAGAAACAAGTTAGCTGGCCTGATCTTTACGCTGACATGCTTATGGACCATTTTGTTTGAACCTCTCAGTCACAGAAACAGCACAGAGGCAAATCCGATTATTCCTGGGTTAACATTACTGTTTGGTTTGCTGAATTATATTACCAATATTAAAATGAATGCATACTACATGCTAGTACATTATCTGTCTACAGCTCAGATCTTCAGAAGATGATATCTTCTGAAACATTTGTTTTCTCCTTGAAATTATAATATTAATGGAGCAGAGGTACCAGAATTTGATCAAAATCTGTTTATATCAAAGCAAAATCAACAGTGATTTTACAGAAGCTTCTATAACTCAGCATACATTAGCCATCATAGCTGTTTTTCTTTCACTGCAGCCACGTGGAACTCTTATCTCAATAATTTTGTTCAAGATTTTGTACTAGAGGAAATAGACCTCCTTCCCCAGATCTCATCCAAGACATTCTAATACAGATCCACATTTTCTTTTCTCTATGCTACTCACATATGAGCAAGACCTGCTTTTCGGACTGCTGATGAGATGGCCTTGATGGCAGTGAGCGTTGAGTTCAAAAGCTGGGTCAGTTCTCCTGTTGCCCCTTTCACCCGCCGTCCTTTCTCCATGACATATCGGTTCAGGGTTATCATATCTGTTTCAAAGGGGCTTTGATCCGACATGTTGGCTGGAAAGCAGGACCGGTTTTCTTGGTTAGAATCTTTTAGTTTTTCTCTTCCCCTCCTGAGTCCTGCTGTTCACCAGTAGTTTTATTTTAAGGAGAAGCAGCTGGTGGCACACCAAGCATGGATTAGTAAAGGATTCCTGAACCCATGTGACTTGAATGCTCAAAATAGACCTCCTGCACAATTCCTCTGGATCTTCAAAGCAGCAAGAATGCAACGTCTACCCAGCTGAACAAATTACCCTTTTCAAGTAAATTAGAAGTAACTACTTGTGATTGAGCTGAACATGGTATAAAAATAAAATTAATGAATAGCTCTACATCTCAACACATTTTGTGGGAAATCAACGATGTGAGCAAGGTGGTCTATGCTGTAAACTCTCAAAGCATTTATTGCAAAACTTAGAGCATCTGTCTATGATAGAATGTGGGTTTGGTTCAGGGAAGTAGAGGGAAGGCAATGTTGAACCATTACAGAAAAGATATCTGAGTCCTGAGAAAGTAGAAAGCATGAGGCAGAAACACAAAACAAGTCCATCTTGACTGGGTTAGATATAAGCTGAAGTAAGGAGAGGCTTTAATGGGCTTTGAAGATTTTGTTACAATGCCCTAAGCTCCTTAAAGAAGGGCTTTTAGTAACTCCTGTTTCATCACCTTGCATACCTTGAAGGGTTGACTGTCCCTGACCTACAGTATATTATCTGCTTTACTACAGGTTGCCAACTTCTTTGGTCTGAGTGCCACCTTTTTAAATATAGAAGAAAGAAAGAGATACTGTAGTCATCTTGCCCAATTCCAGGCAGAAGCTTGACTTTGGCCAGGATGACATTTTGAGCAGCTGCCTCTTGTTCATCAAATTGCAAACGGGGAACTTTCTCAGAGTTTGGCTCAAAGGAGCTTTACGTTTAGCTCCAAGAAAAACTGTGAAGATATGGTCCTGCCAAAACAGCTAAAGAGTTTGTAGCTTTATCAAACCATGGTATTAAGTGGAAAACATGTCTTCCTCCAGGATGATGATGGGAGTTGTAGTCCAGGGAGTTGAGTCAAATATTCAAAGCCCATTTCAGCATTGCTTAAAATAGTATTGTAATTATGAAGGGGATTCCAATTCCTGGATTGGTTCCAATCTGGGGGTGTTAGGAATGTCTAACTTACTCTAACACAGGAGTTTCTGTTTTCCAAATCTACCCAATTTTTGTTTATCAACATGCCCAGAACAGGGCTAGCCTTGCTTAATCAGACAAGAGTTGTTGGATTCAACAAAAGCACACCAAATTGGTTTCTTGCTGTTGTATTTTTAATGCCAGGTATAGAAAGAATTTTTTTATTCTTCCACCTCTTGTTCTAAAATCACTTGGTTTACTTTGAGAAGCACCTCATCTGAGGGTGGGGGGAGCAGGGGGAACAATCTGCTGTTCCATCCCAGATAAAAATGTCACAGGCCAGTTTGGGCCTAGAAATCTTGAAATCTTCCATATTGTATTACGAATCTGAATTTTAAAAGAGAATTGTTCAGCAGCTGGCAAAGTCAACCAGACGTTTCTTAAGATGTTTACTGTCTACATATATTCCTATGTAGAAATTTGCACTCTATTTTCTTCTTATATAGATAAGGGTATTTGCAAGGTTTATCAAGAAATTCAAGATGGTAGCCAGGGCCACATTGTCAAAATCTCATCCTTTGTTGTACGCATTGTACATGCACCTATTGTAAAAACAAAAATGGCACGGCTTCAGTCATAGTCATAACTACTATCTTTACTTTCTTGATCGCATCCCTGTGGGCCCCCTAGATATGGCTATGACTCCCACTTATTCTTCTTCATGGTTATGATTTAGGTTTACAGATTAATGTGGAACCAGCTTTCTATCTTCAAGCAGTTCATTATACAATGACCTTCTTGAATTTGATGGCACTGTTCCAGGACAAATATAGCTTACTTTTCCCCCACCAAAAATGATGGAGATGCATTAACGAAAATCTAAGGGTTTATCAAGTTGAAATAGATAGAGACAAAATTGCTCTGCCTAAAGAAATCTGCCTGGCTAGAGATCTGAAGCACAAGGAGAGGCTACAAGGTTTGGTCCACAAATATCCAGATAGCTACAAGTTATCAGCAAAGAGACACTTCCATCTAGTAACTAGCCCAGATCTGGTTGTTCTAGATTAGAAGTGCCAAACTGCCGGCCCATGGGCCGGTTACATCATGTGGAGGCTGCGCCCACCTCAGCTCCAGGAATGCAAAAAAAGTTGCAATACGTCGCAACACGTCACATGACGTGGCGAGTTTGACACCATCCATCCTTTTTGTATCATGTATCCAGGGCTTTTTCACATTGATAAAACCTCAGTGGCTGTACTACAGTGAGAATCCTTCAAGCAGCACCAAATTTAACTTTGCTTAGAGTCCATCTTACCCCTGATGACTGTAAGGAAGCAATTTGCTATTTTCTTCTGGGATGTTGTTTTTCAACTTCTCTGCCTACTCTAGTATTCAGAAATACTAGATGGGGCTTCCCATCTGAGTACTAACCAGGCTCAACCACTTTTCAGCACAACTGAAGCATGCCCCACTATGTCCATAAAATAAATGGGATTGAAATTAGATGTAACTACTTAAAAGTCACATTTTTCCCCGTAGATTGACTCTGAAACCATTCTAGAATATACAACTCTGGTTTTGCCAATGCAAAATAATAAATGGGGTAGTTGCTTCCATGGATCCATTTTGGCATTCATTTGGTATTGTCAAATAAAGAATCTTGTGGATTTTAACTGTAGCTATAAACTATAAGAAAGTTAATTCTACAATGGCGATTACATATACAGTACATATTTATCTTTGGCAACACACAGCAGCTCCCTCACCAGAAGCAGAATTCTTCACAGCCCCATAAAGAGAGGACATCCACACCATTTACATGCATTAAAATTGTGTAAAATTAGTTCTTCTGCAGAATTGATCAGGAATGCCCTTGAAAATGTTGGAAATCCCACAGTTTCAGTTGTCGAGGAAAATCTGGCTTTTAATGTAAAGTAGTACTAGAGGAGAAAGGTGTGGGTGAGGCAGAAACACTTCATTGCAACAAACCCCACAATTTGGTACCCTCTCCAACAGGAGATATGTATTAGCCCGCAAAGCAAATATATTTCAATGGGCTTTCAATCCCAATGTATGAATGAATAATAGCACCTGTGTCTAATGAATTTTTTGAATGTTTATATTGTTCTTTAATGGTTGGATTTCTATATTTG